TCCCAAGGGAGCTGGTTTGTGTGCTGTGTGAAGACGCATGGAAAACAAAAGCTATGAGGAACAAGCCCTGAGCAAACATTGTACTCCTTTAAAAAAAACCAAAAGATTTATTTTTATTCTTATTTTTATTGGAAAGTCAGATATACAGAGAGGAGGAGAGACAGAGAGCAAGATCTTCCCAACCATTGATTCACTCCCCAAGTAAGCAGCCACAAAGGTCAGAGCTGGGCCAACCTGAAGCCAGGAGCCTCTTCTCTTTTTTCCTCGCAGGTGCAGGGTCCCAAAGCTTTGCGCTGTCCTCGACTGCTTTCCCAGGTCACAAGCAGGGAGCTGGATGGGAAGCAAGGCTGCTGGGATTAGAACTGGTACCCATATGGGATCCCAGTGTGTTCAAGGCGAGGACTTTAGTCTACAGCACCAGGCCTGACACTGTACTCTTGATCTAGGGTCTCCCAGCTTCCAGCATTGTGACAAGTAAAATCCGGTGTTTGTAAAATCATCCCGCATGAGTATTCTGTCATAACAGCGTCACAAATGGGCTCAGACACTTCGTGCTTGGTGTCCTGGCACAAAATACTTTACCAGGTGACATGCACCTGGAAATATAGAAGCCATCCTAGATAGCTGGAGCCTCAAGAGATTTAATTATGGTATCTGATGCTTTAAAAACCTGCTGGAAAGGCTAAAGGGCCAGAAGTCAGGGAGCAGGCGTCAGCTGCCACGCTCACTGGTGGTCGGGGGACAGGGACCTTGCCACTCCTGATTCTCTGGTCCAAAAGCTCAGTGAGGATTAGACAGCCAGCAGCAGGAGGGGGACCCCCACGGGGGGCTTTCAGGTGGGTGTGAGGCCCTCACATAGCCCGTGTCCCTTTGGGTTTCTATTTATTGCTGAGTATCTGTCTTCGGCTGGGTGTGTATCTGAGAACCCTGGTGGCAAAAAGAACCTGGCATACGTCACCCAAAAAGAGTCCCGCTCCATCCTGCACTTACATTCTCATTGGCAAGCCACTGTCCTGCTCAGAGCTGGGCATTCCAGTCTACTGATTAACCGCACCCCACCCCAAACCCACTGCAATCACATCCTCCCTAGAGGGGACCTTTTGGGGACCCTTCAGCCCACTTACACTGAAACCAGTGGTTGTCCTGTACCCCGGGGAAGCCTTTCCTTTCCCTCTGGTTGAAAAGCCAAGACTGGGCCTGACGCAGTGGCGCAGTGGTTAAGGTCCTCGCCTTGCACGCCCGGGATCCCATATGGGAGCCGATTCTAATCCCAGCAGCCCCGCTTCCCTTCCAGCTACCTGCTTGTGGCCCGGGAAAGCAGTCGAGGACAGCCCAAAGCTTTGAGACCCTGCACCCGTGTGGGAGACCCTGAGGAGGTTCCTGGCTCCTGGCTTTGGTTCGGCACAGCATCGGCCGTTGCGCTCACAGATCTTCCTCTCTGTCTCTCCTCTTTGTATATCTGCCTTTCCAATAAAAATCTTTAAAAAAAAAAAACGAAAAAGAAAAGTCAAGGCTGCAGACTGGTGATGGCTGCAGAGCAGGCAGCGCTCTCTGCAGGTGTCTGCCTGCCATAGCAGCTGCGCACCCCCGAGCACGCTGGAACATTCCAGACACTGGAGGAGTTCGAGTCCGGTCCTGTACAAAGCACGAAGCACCATCTGCAGCCGTTCCATCTGTCGTGAAGAACACTAACAACCCACTGTAGGGTCCCAGCTGCTGTCCAGTTACAGCCAAACCCTCGGTGGTTCCATTCCCCTTCGCTTTAGCAGAAGAAACAAAAATTATGTCACTTTGAAAACCAGATGTTGGGCCCGGTGCGATAGCATAATGGTTAAGGTCTTCGCCTTGAACACGCTGGGATCCCATATGGGCACCGGTTCTAATCCCGGCAGCTCCACTTCCCATCCAGCTCCCTGCCTGTGGCCTGGGAAAGCAGTCCAGGACTATCAAGGCCTTGGGACCCTGCACAGGCAGGGGAGACACGGAAAGAGGCTCCTGGCTTCGGATCAGCACAGTCCCGGCCGTTGCGCTCACTTGGGGAATGAATCATCAGATGGAGGATCTTCCTCTCTGTCTCTCCTCCTCTCTGTATATCTGCCTTTCCAGTAAAATAAATAAATCTTAAAAAAAAAAAACAAACAGATGTTGATAAAAGATGGTGGGTATGAAGAAAAACATCTCTATTACAAATTTTCTTTTAAGATTTATTTATTTTTATTACAAAGTCAGATATACAGAGAGGAGGAGACGAAGAGGAAGATCTTCCGTCCAATGGTTCACTCCCCAAGTGAGCGCAACGGCCGATGCTATGCCGATCTGAAGCCAGGATCCAGGAACTTCCTCCAGGTCTCCCACGCGGGTGCAGGGTCCCAAGGCTTTGGGCCGTCCTCGACTGCTTTCCCAGGCCACAAGCAGGGAGCTGGATGGGAAGCGGGGCTGCCAGGATTAGAACCGTGCCCATATGTGATCCTGATGCGCTTTCAAGGCCAGGACTTTAGCTGCTAGGCTACCACGCTGGGCCCAGGGGTTAGTATTCTTGTTGCACAGAATGGAAGACTCCGGCCAACTGAAGAGGACTTGACTTGAAAAGAAGCTCACAGAACTCCCAAGGGGGCTGGCTGGCTGATGAATCGGGCCAAAAAACCATGGAACCATCAGAGGATCTGGGCATGGGCCAGAACTGGTAGAATTGTCTCCAGACGTAGTGCAGAGGGGACTGGCTGCAGCCTCCAGCAGGGGTTCCTGCGGCTCTGCCCGCAAATCAGCCACAGGGAGTCCAGGTCTGCGTGCCTAATGGATCCTTCCAGCCTTCCATGGATAGCTAGGGAGAGGTAGCCGGCACAGCCTGTCCAAAACCAGGTGTCTGTGTCCCACAGGTGCCCCCTGGCGTGTGCGAGTAGAACTGCAGCTGCCCAGGCCAACTGTGACTCAGTGACCTCTTCAGCCATTTCTTCGCTTTGTACGCAAGGAAGCAGGAAGAAAGACAACAGCTGCAGGTGCGCTCATTCATACCCACCCCTCAGACACCACTGCTTCGCGCTCACGAGGCGTTCTCCGAACACTAAGTGTTTGACGGTGAAAAAGATATTATATCTTCCAGAATTGACTCGGATTAAAAGTGGTTGCTTAATGGGCGCCGGTTCTAATCCCGGCAGCCCCGCTTCCCTTCCAGCTCCCTGCCTGTGGCCTGGGAAAGCAGTCGAGGACGGCCCAAAGCTTTGGGAACCTGCACCCGCGTGGGAGACCCGGAAGAGGCTCCTGGCTTTGGATCGGCATAGTATCGGCCCGTTGCGCTCACTTGGGGAGTGAATCATCGGACGGAAGACCTTCCTCTCTGTCTCTCCTCTCTGTATATCCGCCTTTCCAATGAAAAAATAATAAAAAAATAAATCTTTAAAAAAAAAAAAAGTGGTTGCTTACCCATTGCAATGACAGCATGTTCCGTGAGAGGAACAGAAGCCTTCCTCATCGGTGCGGTGACTCAGGCGCATTCTTGGCAACCAGACTCAAGTCCAGACGAATATTTATCTTACTCTCTTTCAAAATCCGAAGCTCTGAGAGAGGGCGAGAGAGAAAAAGCAAGGCAACAGGCACGTGCTGTGTGCAGAAGATGTTCAAAAGGCCAGCCAATAAAAAAAGAAGAAGGCAATCAGTTTGGAGCGTGTGCACCTGTTTGATGAGGGAGTGTCCGATCAGCCATAACCTAGGTTACTGGAACGGAACAGGCAAGGTCACAGCTTGGTCTTGAGACAGTCAAGGAAGGAAGGGCTTCACAGGAGGGACCTAAAAGATCAAAGAAAGAGGGAAAGAATAGATTCCACTACACCTGAAGACAGAACACCCTTGATTAGCATAGGATCAAAAGGGGAGTTAGCACCCTTGATTAGCATATTGCCACAGGATGCAGCCATAACAGTTATAACAGCTTTTTGGCTAAAAAACGGTAACAGCAACATCAGCTTTTAAGCTCCCATTGATATTTAACAGTAACTCCCGCAGAGGCAGACAATGCCTAAATAGATTACAGAAATCTCAGCGGGGTTGTCAGGTGTCCTTGCAAAGGGAGGCGGAGCTGCATTCAGGTGTTGTAGAGACATCCGGGCCCTGCCACACAGCAGGAAGTTCCTTGCGGCCCTGCCTGCAATGGAACGATACTCTTCACACCTTCCTGTCTTCCACATCCATCACACGGACCCCAGCACGCCCGGGTGCAGGGTCCCAAGGCTTTGGGCTGCCTTCCCACGTCACAAGCAGGGAGCTGGACCGGAAGTGGAGCTGCCGGGATTAGAACCAGGGCCTGTAGGGAATCCCAGCGCTTGCAAGATTGAGCATCTAGCCATGGAGCCGTCGAGCCCAGCCTGTGGACTTTTTCTAAGAATACTTTATTTTACTGATTTTCAGCCGAACTGTCTTCCTTTTTTAGTTATATAATGGGATTCACTCATTCATTTAAAGGAATTGCAGGAAGGGCGAGGGAGAGATCTCGTATGCATCGCTTCATTCCACAGATCCGCGGGCTTTTCCCAGGCAGGCGGCAGGTCCTCGTCCCTCCGCAGGTGGGGATGGCCGTCCTGGGTGCAAGACCTTGCTTCTTCCGCAGCACAGCAGGCCTCAGCATTGAACAGAAACGCTTCTTTCCGCTGCTCCCCTTGCCTCAGAGCCCCGCCATTCTTCTCCCATCGGATTTTGCTCGCAAAGAACGGGCAGGCATGTCCTTCCCGTTTTGCCCTTAGAAAGTGTTTCATCTTTTGACATAAGAGGACGCCACTCGCAGCCCATTTCCCCTGAGGAAGCATTACGTCATCAACCAACGGCCCGCTCCGACAAAGAGCACTTCCGCCCGAGGGCCCGCCGGCTCACGGAGGCCGCAACGCGCAGGCGCGCCCGACGCGGGCTCGGGTGCCGCACTCGGAAGTGCGCCTGCGCCGGGCGATGCCCCGCCCCCACCCGCCGGCCCGCTATAAAAGCTCGCGCCTCTCCTCGCGAGAGACGTCGTGCTCATGCTCGCGGCCGGGGTCGGAGGTCAGGGCGATCGTCTCGCGGGCCGGAGAAGGAAGATGGCGGTGGAGTCGCGCGTTACCCAGGAGGAGATCAAGAAGGAGCCGGAGAAGCCGATCGACCGCGAGAAGGTGAGGGCGCCGGCGCCGCGGGCGTCCGGGCCGACGGGGCAGGCGCGGCCCGGGGGAGGGAGGCGACGCCGCGGCCGCCGTCCTCCAGCGCCGCCTCTGCCTCCCGCAGACGTGCCCGCTGCTGCTCCGGGTGTTCACCACCAACAACGGCCGCCACCACCGCATGGACGAGTTCTCCCGCGGCAACGTGCCGTCCAGCGAGCTGCAGATCTACACCTGGTGAGCGCGGCGGGCCGGGGCGGGCCGGGGCGGGCCGAGGGGACAGGGCGCTGGGGGCCCATCTTGGCACGGGGTCGAGAGTGGACAGGCCCCACCCCACCCAGGGTGCGCTGCTGTGACTGCTTCCTGATACTCAGATAAGTGATGCAAAGAAGTGACGGAGTAGGCACACACTGCACATTCCGCAGCCCGCGCGTCGGGGCCTGCAGACCGTGGTGAGGGTTCCGGATGCTCGCGGAGTGCTGCCCGCTCTCCTAAAGAACGTGCCTGTCTACTGGGAAAGCCTTAGCAGGTCGCCAGCCCTCGCTCGGGTCTCCTGTTGGCTGGTGTGTGGTGCAGACTGACCTGCTGGCCGCTGACCTCTGCTGAGCCTCCGGGCGCCTGGGTCCTACAGCCCCGTCTGCAGTGCTGCATCCCGGTCCTCGGGGTGGGCCGGCCCCGGGTTGCACCCCGTCCTACAGCCCCGTCTGCAGAGGTGGGCGCCCGGTGTTGGGGTAGCACGCAGCTGCCTCTGCCCGTCTCCCCGAAGCAGCAGTGAGACGTGGTTCCCAAGGCTCAAAGGTGTTAAGTGGATGGGCCGCCGGCTGGCAGGGCAAGTGTCCCGAGAGGTAGGCTGGTGTCGCGGAGGTTGGAGGTGTGCTGTGTGTCTTCTGTGCTTAAGTGGTTACTGAGAGCGTGGTCTGGGTCACCCTAAGTCAGGATTCCACCAGCTAGAAGAGATGTGGAAGGTATTTATGGCAAATACCTGGCTTGTGTGGTTGTGGGCTTCCGTTCTGTGGGGTGGCTGGATTCTCCAGAGCCCACATTTCTTAAAGGAACCTTAGCTCTGTGCCCAAGGCCTTTCAGCCGAGTTAATCAGGCCCCCCTAAATTGTACGGGACCGTCCCTGATTTAAGGTCAGCTGGCTCTAGGCTAATGACGTGGATGAGCTTCGCCTAGGTGGTTATTGTCTGGTTGGGTGACTGGGGCCTGCGGCTTTGGAGGGTTAACGTGTGGTACTGGGCCTCACCATCACCTGGCAGACACCTCAGCCCCAGAGGGCGCTGCTGGCATACTCTGCGTGGTGTTCCCGAACTGTGGGCGAGCTGTCGGACAGCCGCCCTGGCCCTGCAGGCCCTGGCCTGGGAGGGCGGTCCTCGGGAGGGAGCCCTAGGGACCCGATGCCTTAGGTTCATTGTACAGGATGCGAGCACAGAATAAATGACGAGGAAGTTGGAAAATGCACTTTAGATACATGTTGGGTCTTCCTGGAGTTTGTGGGATGCCCGCACTTTTAAAACTTTCACATCGAAATAAACTTAGCTTTTAGAACTGTTTATTTCGATTCACTTGAGAGGCAGAACGAGGCCCAGGTGCCTGCAGCGGCTCAGCTGAGGCAGGCTGAGCGCTGAGAACGCACGGCCCGTCTCTCTTGGGAGCAGTCGGGGCCAGCTGCTGCAGCCGGAACCGCCGCCCCCCCAGGGCCGGGGTGAGCACACAGCCGGAGTGAGGCTGCAGACAGCAGCACTGAGCCTTGGCACAGGTACGCCTGGCGCTGGGCCAGATGCCCATAAAAACCTTCGTGTCATTTTCCAGGCTCTTTCTGAAATGTACCTGTATATTGTCATAAATGTACATTGTGATAAGTATTCACTGTATCGGAATGACTGGAAGATGTCAGGAGGTGGGTGAAGCCACACCTGACGTGCTAGTGTTGGCTGATTTGTGTCCTGGCGCTCCCGGCTGCGTGCTCGGAAAGCAGCAGAGGACAGCCCTACTGCATGGGCCCCTGCACCCATGGGGGAGCCTCAGGAGGGACCCCGGGCGCCTCATTTCAGAGCAGCCCCGCTACTGCCGTTCTGCTGTTCGGAGAGTAAGCCGCTGACAGGCTTGCTTCTGAAGTCTCCAAGACAGAGGCGATAATTCTGACTTCAGAGCTTATGTCCGTGTTGGAGTTAAAGCTGTGCAGTTCCTTCAGTTTCACTTTTTGTTGTTAAAGTGAAATTTTTATTAAATGCGTATCCTTAGAGTAGGAATTACATTTTCTGTGTGGTAGTCTTCACACGAACAATATGTTTGCTATATTGGGTACTTTTTTGCCTTTACTATTGTTTTGTCTTAAAGCATAAAGAGAAGCTTTGGTCCCCATGGACCATCGTATTAAGCCGCCACCTGTGGCACCAGCTGGTCTGAGTCCTGGCTGCTGGTGGACGGGGCGGTGTTGGAAGAGGGCCCAGGTAGCTAGCTGCTGCACTAAGGCCAGGCCTGGGGGTGGGGAGTGTGGGGCTGGGTCCTTGGCCAGGAGCCAGCCTGCACGGGCCATGGAGGAGCGTGTCTTAGCAGTAATGGGAGACGAGCACTTGCTGTGCAAGGCCACCGCCCCAGTTCCTGCACGTGGCTCCTGACCCTGCGCCTTTTTTCCCCCCCCCCGCTCTTAAGATGTAATTGGAAAGGTAGAGTGCGACCTTCCGTCCTGTCGCGTCCTCCAGGTGGCCACGGTGGCCTGTGCTGTGCCCAGCGGGAGTCTGCAGCTCCATCCCAGCCTCCTGCAGGGGTGACAGTGGCCCCTTACGCAGGAGCTAGATAGGAAGTGGACCAGTGTTACATGGATGTCGGTATTCACCGACTGCCACAGGTCATGCCAATCCCCCAACCAAGCTTCCCAGTAGGCACCTCGGAGGCAGCATGGATGACTGAAGATTGGGGTCCCAGCTTCTGACTTGGGTGACCCAGTGATTGGAAGGTTCCCCCTCTCCCCTACTTCCTTTCAAATAACATTGCAATTAAAAGAATGACTAAGAATGAAGTTCTTGTATTAAAGTTAGGTGGTCCCTAACAAGGAAAAGGGGCATGTGTAATTAATGTTGTTTGGCAGTTTCCTGATATATTACTGACTAATAAAATGTAAATGTTTTTTTCCCTCTGTAAAAAAAAAAATACAGGATGGATGCAACTTTGAAAGAACTGACTAGTTTAGTAAAAGAAGTGTATCCGGAAGCCAGAAAGAAGGGCACGCATTTCAATTTTGCAATTGTTTTTACGGATATTAAAAGACCTGGTTATCGGTAGGTAGCATCTCATTTTTAATCCCTTTGATTTTTGTTTCTGTTACGTTTTAGCTGGTAGGAATAGCCTGTTTATTCCTTTAGTGGGGCGTATGAGTTTGTATCGTCTTACTCTCTGGCTTAGTTTAACATATAGCTCTTGGATTTGCTAACCGGGTCTAGGATGACGGAGCCAACCCAGGCTCGTCCTTGTTGTGTGCTGGATGATGTCACTGCTCTGTGGCCCACTAACGTTTGTTTGCTTTCCGGCAGCGTCAAGGAGATTGGCAGCACCATGTCCGGCAGGAAGGGGACCGATGACTCCATGACCCTGCAGTCTCAGAAGTTCCAGATAGGAGATTATTTGGACATAGCCATCACGCCTCCGAATCGGGCGCCACCTCCTTCCGGGCGCATGAGGCCGTATTAAATTTACAATGCTGTTTCTTCATTTGATTTTTCAGTCAGCTATGTAAAATAAGCTTACTCCTTTCCTTGTTTGATTATTGCCAGTAAGCCTTTAAATTCTAAGCAAGTTGTTATGCATCTATTTAGAGAATTTGGATTTGCTATGGTCTGAATATTAGTAGTACGTATGTTTCAACCCCTTCTGTAAAATATAAAGAAAAGTGCTCTTAGCATTCTGTGTCACTGCTGTTCAGCGCCCGAGTGTGGGAGCTCAGGGGAGCAGGGTTAATGTCCTGTGGAGCTTTTCCTGAGTAGGGGCTAGGCAGCTCTGAGTCTCAAGGGGCAGAACAAGAAAGCCAGGGTGTCCAGTGCGACCAGGCCTGACATGCTGCTGGTACTTAGAAGGGGGAACCTTGAACAAGACCTTGGGGAGTGAAAGGTGCCTGCATCGGGATAGCTTGGTACAGTGACAACAGTGTAGAAGGTGCCACACGAGGGCTTTCTGCTTTAAGAGGAGGGAAGAGGGCATTTTGAAGGTAAGAACCCGTTTAGAGGAAACAGGAGCCAGAAATTAGGGTGGAAAGATTGAGCTTGAAGACCTAAAAGCGGACAGAGAACTGATGGCATCTTAGGCTGGACAATGTCAAGGCCATACCAGAGTCTCGGCATGTCCCAGTGCTTCTGGATTGTGAAGATTAAATATTAAGCTCAGAGCAGTGCCAGGCAGATGACAGATGACATTCTAGTTAACTTAGCCATGAGGAACAGTTTAGTCAAAACTGCAACTCTGTTTCATGGCACTATTATAGACTTATTTTGAAGTTTATAGACTATCTGGTAGGGTATGGTAAGCCTGATCGCTTTTTTAAATCTATTTTAAAAATTGAAGATGTGTCCCCAAACAAAAATGTATGTGCTGGCAGTGATTCTCCAGTTGCACTGGGTTGTACAAACAAAAGCCCTTTCAATCTAGTAATTAAGGTAATGTCCTGTGGCCGAATTCATCAGCAGTGGCAAAGATGTGTGTTTGCAATCTGGACCTGCTGTCTTTTCAACACTGTAGTTTGCCTTGAGCCCAAATGATCGATTCCGACTGGGTAGGCCAGAGTTTTATACCCATAAATGTAATGCAAACTTACTATGTTACTATGCAGATTAAAAGGGTGAGACCAAATTACCCTTGCAAGCCAGTTCCCCATAGGATGTGAACCCTCACAAGGCCTCACCTATAAATTGAGGTTGTTCTCTTAAAGTGGTTTGGCTGGTTTGTCAAAATCCTCTCTTTGCTTGGTTACAACATGGAGTTTTTCCTTCGAAGATCTGAGTCATCCGCTGGAAGTGCCACTGTGAGAGGCTCTCCAGTGGCCATTACTGAATTTAGTGCTGAAAGTGAGAGACTTGTACTTAATCTTTGTCTGCCTTGGCTTTGGTAAGTAAGTATGGGTTTGGGGAGTAACAGCTGTTTCTTCTAATAGCAAATAAACAGTGACCTTACTGGTGTCTCCCTCAATGCTTTAGCTTACCTGCCCTCCACGGTTTTAACTGGCTCACGGGTATTTTCAAGTTGAGATTTATCTCTTGGAATGAGCTGTAATTCACGCCATGTCTGTGTCTCTTCAGTTTTCTTAGTGTATAGAAACTGGGACTGTTAGCACTAATCGCTCACTAGGTTTTTTTTGTTTGTTTTTTAAAGATTTACTTTTTATCGGAAAGGCAGGAGAAGAGACAGAGAGGAAGATCTCCCGTCTGCTGAATGGATGGTCAGAGCTGAGCCGATCAGGAGCCAGGAGACTCTTCTGGGTCTCCTACATGGGTGCAGGGTCCCAAGGCTTTGGGCGGTCCTTTATTGCTTTCCCAGGCCACAAGCAGGGAGCTGGATGGGAAGTTGGGCTGCTGGGATTAGAACCGGCGCCCATATGGGATCCCAGGTGTAATCACTGGGTTACTGCAGCCAGTTCCTGGCTGCTTTGCTGATATCTAGGTTCCTGAAGTGTCTTTATTCTGGTAGAAATGATTGATTACACGGCTATCTTGGGAAAAATAGGACCCCTGCCCCCACACCCTATCACTGGTGCAGAAATCCCCAACAGGAAAAAGCCAGAACCTGATAGCAATTTCAATACGCAGCAATCCTTAGCTTGGGACTTCTGCGCAGACTTCAAGGTCATATGTGTTCCCCAATGAAACAGTGCTTAAAGGAGCACCTGCCGGGCGTGATGCCAGTGTTCGGGAAGCAGCAGCTCTTCTCAAAGGAAAACGCCTCCCTGGCCTCCCTCCTTGTGCCATTGCTTGTCCAGAATTTTCAAGCCTAGCCGTGGAATCCCAGTTAGAACCCGTCATTAAGAACGTTTTTCAGGGTTTGATGAAATTAAGACACTTTAAAATCCATGTAGATTCTAAGGACACTGGAAGCTGTCAGAAAATTTAGCAATATTCGTGATTATTTTAAACCCCCTTATAACTCAACAGGGAATACAATGAATTCTGTGTCTATTGTATGTGCCAGGTGTTCTGGCCTGATTCTGAAGAACCATCTATCAGATGGCATATGTGCTGCCAGAGCCATCATGTTGCATGGTAGCTGACGATGGCTTGGGCGCTGAACTTGTCTCTGGATGTGGAGTTGTTAGCGCCTGGACTGAGGATCTGCATCTGTCAGATGGTTCTTCAGAAAGTCTTAAAATCTAGTGAGGCGGGCCAGTGCAATGGTGGAGTGGTTAAGGTCCTTGCCTTGCACGCCCGGGATCCCATATGGGTGCCGGTTCTGGTCCTGGTGGCCTCGCTTCCCATCCAGCTCCCTGCTTGTGTCCTGGGAAAACAGTGGAGGATGGCCCAAGGCTTTGGGATCCTGCACCTGTGTGGGAGACCTGGAGGAGGTTCCTGGCTCCTGGTTTCGGATTGGCACAGCACCGGCCGTTGTGGTCACTTGGGGAGTATATATCTGACTGTAATAAAAATAAACCTTTAAAATAAACCTTTAAAAAATTTGAAATAACCAGAAAGTTTCAGCTAGTATGAGGCCCAGCTGCTTGCTGCACTACACATCCCTCATGCCTCAGATGCAGGGGCCCAGGTGCAGGCTCAGGAAGGCCCACCCTTCACGGTGAGACGGGCCCAGGGTCTTTCTGCCCTCTTCCAGTAAGAAGTGTGTGACCTTGCAGCCTGCTTCGGTGGTCCTGGTGTGGTTGGGGTTTGGGATGGTGCTTGGGCTAGCCTGGAGTGCTGTGTTGGGAGCAATAGTGCCTCTCTGCTGCTAAAGCAGAGGGATCTAGCAAAGCATATTCTAGATAGAGACCAGGGCAGGACATTGAGGCTCTTAGGAGGAGCGGGGAGGGTGTGAACACCCAAGAGGTGTGTGCATGTCAGAGGCTGGGCTCAAATCATGTAGGGTCCACGTGGGCCACACAAAGGCTCTTGGTTTGGTTTTTTTCACTTTTGTTTTTGTAAGATAGTGATAGAGAGCTATCTTCCACGTATTGGTTCACTCTCCAAATGCCGGCGAGAGCCAGGGCTGGACAAGGCAGGTCCTGGAACTCCATCTGGTCTCCCATGTCCGAGTGTGGACCATCTGCCTCCTTCCCCAGCATACTAGCGGAAAGCAGGATGGACGTGGAGCAGTACCCGGGGATCGGGCATCTCAGGTGGAACTTATCCCATGTGCCACAATGCCTGCCCCTTGGAAAGCACCAGAAAGATCCCAACAGTTCTGAAGGTGGAAGGTGGCAAGAGTCTGGAAGTTAAATTTGGGGAAGTTGAATCCGAGGGATCAGGGGGAGTTCCCTCACAGGCAATCAACCTGTTGCTCATCTTTTGTCGGCGTCTGTCCTGTCTAGCTGCTGTCTTCCTTCCCCAGCGGAACCATCCAAGAGCCCTCACCTCTCCCTCCTTCCCGTCACCAGCACACGACCATTAACTCCTATCCAACAACGCTCGCAGCAATAACAGAACCACTCTCCGTGAAATACTGTCTTCTGTATGACTGGCTTTTCATTTTCTTTGCCTTCATCCTCTGTGATCCGTGGTATCTGGAATTCACTCCCCCTACCAGCAGACCCATGCAGCTCCCAATATGCACGTGTGCACACAAAATATGCAAATGCTAAGTGAGGTTGGCACCCATTGTGGAATCATTAGCATATATAATATTAGCTGCAGCTTTATTTGAAAGATTATAAATCTCTTAACATAATTTATACATAACAAAAATTAAATTCGGCATTACACAATTCCTAGGACAAAAAATGTTTTGATGTCACCTCAAAAAATTAGTATAGCAAAGCATGACACATCATAGAACTGAAGTTTCATCCAAGTTCCCAAGCGCCGCCTCTGATGCACCCTGTCCTGACACTTGTCAGTTGTTCTCAACTTTTTGCCTGCTCTCCAGAGTAGGCTAAGTCCTCATTTTCCCACTGCTGTAGTTGGAGAAGTTACTGGTAAGCCTTCAAAAAACCCCTTCTCTGGCACCCCTAGAACCGTTGGCTCCAGGGGCTTCTGTGGCCACAGCTGAGGGTTCACACGAGGGTTCCTGGCCCAGGTTTAGGCACCAGATCCTTCCGAGAGGTGTGGGCCCTTCCTGGGGTGACTGGAGGGTGCAGCCTGAAAGGCCAGCAGCCATGTGGAGGGCGGAGCCGAGCTGAAGGCTCTGTGACATCACGCAGAGGGCTGAAGTCCAGCGTGACAACAGAGTCCCCGATGCCAGCTGTCTGCCCTCCTTCCTCAGAGGATCACAACGCACGTGGCCACACCTGCAAGTCACCCTCTGTTCCTGTGTTAAAGATGTGTTTCTGGTATTTGCATACAGCAAAATAATCTTCAAAGAGCACCAATGAATAAAAGGTATAAAGACTGCAGCAAGACAAAAAAAAAAGACTGGCAGTCTGGAGAGGAGATGAGGGCAGAGCTAGCGGGCAGCAAAAAGCACATGGCCACAAACAGGTCTGCGTGGTCTTATGGGGAGATCAGACAGTAGCATTCCGATTTTAAGAAGTGTTTGCCCTACTTCCTGTTACTACTAAACCATTCTGTTAGATTCAGCAGTGATGGAAAGCTCCAAGTCAGGAAGACTGGGGCTGAACCAAATCCCAACTTCATTACAAAGCATGGTAGGACCGCAGTGTCTGTGTTGCTCATTACAATGGGTCAGTTCTTAAAATGCACAAGAACATCCGGTTATGTCTTCATCCCATTCTGTGCAGTTTTTATGATAGACGGATCCATTAGAATATCTGCAGATACAAATAAAAACTAGTTGAAATTTTCCCTACCACTCAAATGTTTATTTATTTAAATTTGAAAGGCAGAGCAGATTTAAGGGGAGGAGGGAAAGATCTTCTATTTGCGGGTTCACTCCACAAATGGCCACACAATGACTGGAGCTGAGCCAATCCGAAGCCAGGAGCCAGGAGCTTCTTCCAGGTATCCTGCATGAGTGCAGGGTCCCCAGGGGCCGTCCTTTACTTACTGTTCTCCCAAGCTAGAAGCAGAGAGCTGGTTGGGAGGTGGAGCAGCCAAGACACTAACCGGCATCCTTATGGGATCCAGTACTTGCAAGCTGAGGATTTAGCCACTGAGCCATTGCACTGGGCGCTCAAATCTAAACTTGTAATTACCCTCGTCAAATGACATGTATTCTCTCTTTAGAAGGCAACATATTCATAGATCTGGGCAGGTGGTGGAGCCCCGCCTGCTGCACTGCTATGGCAGTGTGACTTTGGGCAGGAGGTAGGGCCATGCCACGCCGTGGGAAGAACAGGCCTGGGGCAGTGCCGGAGCTATGGATGTGGTGGCTGTGTCCTGTCCTGCAGGGTGGTCTGGGCATGTGTGTCGGGGACACCACTGAGGAAGCACATTACAGGCGAGGAATCTCTTCGGGAGACTTCCACAGACCAAGCCACTGCAAACGAGGGGGCCGAGACCAGGTGTTTGGAGCAGGAGGGAGCCAGAGGACAAATCTGGCTCAGACCAGGACACCTGCCCATGTCGGAGACCTGGGCTGGGATGGCTGGCATCCATCACAGCCCACTGGAGCACAGGGAAGCCAGGGCTGGGGGCCTGCCTGGCACGACGGGGCCACAATACCCGCCAGTGATTGTTGGGGCAGGGGGTGGGACATGTCAGGCTGGGTTATGACACTAACCAGCATGCAAGAGGACCAGGTCTGGGGAGATTCTGTGGGGAATTTGTGGGCTCATCCCTGTAGGACTGCAGTACCTGCTGGTTTGTACAAGAGTCGGGGGTAGTACAAGGCCAAGCTAGGTGTGACTACGAACTCACCAACATTCATGGGAACTGGGGTTGCGAGCAGGCTGGGTTGGCCCAGGCTGCAGTACCTGTAGGTGCACTCAAGAATTGGATCTGGGTGCTGGGATACAGCATCCATCCACCAGCACTCATAAAGGCAGAGTTGGGGGTGTGGACTAGGCTGGGCAGGGACCTAGCATCTGCTGACATGTATGAGATCTAGGTCTTGGAAACAGGCCTGGTGGGGTAACTTAGGGAACTCCCCAAGTTCTCATTGATGTTTGTGAGAGCTAGAGTGGGTCAGGAAGGGCTTGGTTATGGCACCTACTGAACTTGGTGAATATGACAGCTGGGTCTAGGGGTGTGCCAGGAAGGGCTAGGCTGCAGCACCCAACTGTAAGAGCCGGAATGGGTATGGGCTGCTCAGGCAAGGCCACTGTACCTGACAGTGAATGCCAGGATGGAAGGTGAGCCAAATCAGCCTGGGTCAAGAACCTAGCACATGTGAGATCTGTGATTGGAAGGTGGCCTGATAGAGAAGGTTGGGGAACTTCTCTGTCAGGATACAGTCCCCAGTGGTGAGTGTGAGAGCTGAGACTGGGTGCCACCCAGACCAGACCAGTTCACAGTATCCACTGGCAGGTGTGACAGCCAGGGTTGGACTGAATCACCAGCCAGTTCACATGGCTGAGACTGGGAGCTGGCCATGCTGGGATAGGATGCAGCACCCGCCTGCATGAGCTGGAACTGAGGCAGTCTGGGTCAGGTTACAGAACACCTTGGCAAATGCTGAGGTGAGGTAGGCCATTCCAGACTGGGCTGCAACACCAACTGGCACATATAAGACTGCGGGCCAGTAGCAAGCCTGGTAGAGGGAGGACAGCTCGCCTGCTGGGTTACTGGGACTGGGGGCAGACCAGGCTGGACAAGGCTATAACACCCACCGACCTGCATGTGAACTACGTTGGGGGAAGAGCCAGGCTGAGCTAGGCCACTGCATCCACCGGCGCATGCCTGGGTCACAGTAAGTGCAGGCTGGTAAGGCTTATCCACAGCATCAGCTGGCAAGTGCCAGGCCTGGGGGCAAGTCCTGTCAGACTAGACCACAATGTCACCTGGAAAGTGCAAGATCCGAGGCTGGCAAGTGGGCCTTGGAAGGAAACTGGGCGCTCCCCTGATGGGCAGCAGCTCCCAGCAATGAGCATGAGAACCAGGGCTGGAGTCGGGCCTGACCGGACAAGGCGGTGGCATCCACTGGCAAATATGTGGGATGGATAGTGGGGCTGGCTGAGATCAAATAGGCTGCTGCAACTATGAGTATATGAGTCAGATGGGATATAGGATGGATTGATCTGTACATATTGGCATGCACGGAAGCCAGGGCTGGGGCAGGCCTGGTGAGTTCCTGGGGGTTGCTCCGACTAGCCTGCAGTTTCCACTAGTGTGCACGAGGGCCAAGTGTGTGGTGGGCAGGGCTGGGAGGGGCCACGGCATCCAGTAATTTGCATAAGAGATGGGGCTACAGATGGAAATGACCCAGCAACTGCAACCACCAATGTGTGTTTAGGATGATGTGGACCACCAGGCTTAAAACTCCAGCTATGGGCTGAATCACAGGATTTGTAATCTGACCTTGGAGTGCATGTATGGGGCCTGGGCCTCCTCAGTTGCTGCAGCCTGTGCAGCGGATGGCATGCCCAGAAGCACATGGGGGACACGACAGCTCAATGGGCCTGCAGAGGACATCTAGTGCCATGTCACAGGATGCAGGGCAGGACAAAATGGACAACTGTCCTGGCCAAGCTTTGACAGCAAGCATTCAGGCAAGTGGAGATTCTGAGGTGGACTATGTCAGCCAATGGACCTTGGAGTAGCAAAATCAACAGCATCTCAGAACTATCAAAAGCACTTAAGCAGTACCCTCCAGACACGCTCCACATCAGGGACCCTAGGATGACATCGACTGGCCATCCCACACCCCTGGCTACCGAGGCTGTTAGCATGCTGGGTGCGGCTTTTCCCCTGCTCGCCCCGATTTCCCTACATACAGGAAGAAAAAGAAAATTGGGAACAATCGTCTCATCCACTTTCCCCCAGTCCTTGTCGTTTTCCACCTAATCAGCGGTCCACATGGGCATGCTTCCTTCTCAGCTATGTAAACAACATCAAAACAAAACAAAGCACACACATACAAAAAGCCAAAGCACCAAAGAACAAAGGTAACACACTCACTTTCACCAGTTTTCTTTGTTGCCAACATCCCGGCTGTTGTGTCCTTCGTATCTGCGGAACTCTTTCCTGCCTGCCATTGGTTTAACAGCGATGGGAGTAGCCAGTTTTGAATTGTATTTTGTTAAAATCTACAACCAAAAGAAAAGTAAAGTATATGGTAAATGTAAATGTGAAAGATGTTACAAAATGTTTGAGAAAAACCTTGGAAATTTTTAAGATTTATTTAAGATTATCTAAAACTGAAGAATTATTTTTAGCCCTACATAACAGGAGGTAATGCAATTTAACTTGAATGTGAGGGTGAGATTCATGAAGCCTTCTAGAATGTACTCTGAGCGTCTGTGTGGTAGCATAGCCTGTGAAGCCCCCACTTGCAGCTCTGGCCGCAAATGGGCAACGCCGATGTTCAGGCTACTTTACTTCTGATCCAGCTCTCTGCTAAGGTTAGAGGAAAGCAGTGGAGGGTGGCCCACTGGCATGGGCCCCTGCACACCTGGAAACAGATCCTGGCTTGTACCTGTTGGCTACTGCAGCCCTCTGGGGAGTGAGCCAGCAGGTGCAGGATCCAACTCTGCTTCTGACACTGATTCCCAAACAAATGAATCAATCAATAAAATGCATCCTGGGGATAGTGGAAACCAGAAGCAATATAATATTAAGAGCAAGTACACTTCTACAACTATTTAGGGAAAACAAACAAGGGAAAGCAACCATGTGGAAATATAAACTAGGACTCCTATAAACGCGAGATATTCGTTCATCAACCAAATTCTTGTATCTCCCAGAAATGAAGAAACATGGCATCTTAGGGGACATTCTAATGACAGTTAGATACTTTCCCACGTGATTTATCTTTTTCATAACTCTCACAGCCAGGAAGACTCCTAGAGCAGTTATTAAGAATTTCATTTGGGGGCCTAGTGGTTAAGTCCTCCCCTTGAACGTGTCAGGATCCCACATAGGCGCCGGTTCTAATCCCAGCAGCCCCACTTCCCACCCAGCTCCCTGTTTGTGACCTGGGAAAGCAGTCGAGGACGGCCCAAAGCCTTGGGACCCTGCACCCGCGTGGGAGACCCGGAAGAGGCTCCTGGCTTTGGATTGGCTTAGCTCCAGCCATTGCAGTCACTTTGGGAGTGAATCAACGGACAGATCTTCCTTCCTATCTCTCCTCTCTATAAGTCTGACTTAATAAATGAATCTTAAAAAAAAAATTAATTTGCCTAAGCAATAATTGTGAAAACCGTAACTTCTCAAATACATATGTCAAATAACACGGGTTATTTAATACTTGGCAGTTTTCACAAATCAGAGCATAGTAAGATACTCTAACATACACAAAGAAGTACTTCTAAAACGAGTTCCAAGAAGTTCAACAAGGATATACTTTTCATGAACAAGAATGAAGTTCCAGCAGCATTCTAAATGGAATGGTGATTTACACGGCAACAGCAGCGGAACAATTACCAGAAATTACTGTGAGAAAACATTTCAGAATATGAAGCACAGAGCAAATGTCCCCTAAGGTATTATCACTCGAAATGGAAGTCGGAAACCACAGCAAGGTTAGAAGAGACTAAGCATCCGGGAATTGACATTGTCTCAACACTAAAATTAGCATATGACCAGATGATGGATGATCGGCTACACGCTTAGGTCTATAATACATATGGATCTAATTTTTAAAAGAATATCAGAGGGCCTGGAGCGATAGCCTAGAGGCTGAAGTTCTCGCCTTGAAAGCGCTGGGATCCCACATGGGCACTGGTTCTAATCCCGGTGCTCCACTTCCCATCCAGCTTCCTGCTTGTGGCCTAGGAAAGCAGTTAAGGACGACGCAAAGCCTTGGGACCCTGCAGCCGTGTGGGAGACCTAAAAGAGGCTTCTGGCTCCTGGCTTTGGATCGGCGCAGTATCGGCCATTGCAGTCACATGGGGAGTGAATCATTGGACAGAAGATCTTCCTCTCTGTCTCTCCTCCTCTCTGCGTATCTGTCTTAGTAATGAAAATAAAATAAATCTTTAAGTTAAAAAAAAAAAAAATCAGAAAAAATATCTTGGACAACTCACCTGGAAAATGTCTTCTGGGATCGTGGTAACTTGAGGAGGTGTCGGTGTTTTGAGAAGGTTCTCGTAGGAAGAAATCGTGGGGGAAGAGGGATCAGAGAAGTTCTCAAAGCACTCGTGTGATTTTAACACTAAGGGACCACAATCTGTGACCTGCACTTCATGTGATGAGCTGTTGGTTTTTGATGTTGGACAATTTGTAGACATCTATGAGGAGTAAAAAAAAAAAAAAGTTGTTAGATTATGGTCATGTAAAACAATGAAGCAAATCAAACTTAGTTCACTGTTGTTTCTGTCGGAGTCTAAGTGGCCCCAGCATGACACCCTGCATGAACGACCTATGGCAGTGTGACAGGCAGAGCTGTCACTTGGTGCCTCTATCGCACATCCGAGCACCTGCTCCTCATCCGGCCTCCTGCCAACGTGCCTGTGTCAGCAATGCTCAAGGGCTTTGATCTCTGTCACCCACGAAGGAGACCGAGACAGTCTCACTCCTGGCTTCTACCTGGCCCAGTGCGGGCTGTTGGACAGTGAGCCCACAGACCAAACACTGATCAATTTCAGCTTCCCTTCACATGAAAAAATCAGAAATCATTTTTTTCTAAAAAAGGAAATAGCTTTTTGAGGAATGAACACCATCTTTGTTAGTATAAAAGGCTAGTTAAGTTAGAACTTAATGTGAGGACTAAGTGGACTTTTTGAGTAAAAACTCCAAGTCTGGAGAGACCTCCCAGCTTGTCTCAGACACTGAACTGGGGCCAGACCAGAATCCTGGCCTGGTGAGCAGAGTGAAGGCAGACACACACCCAGCAAGCAGAAAGTGAATCTGAGGGCCTAGCACGGTGGCCAAGCGGCTAAAGTCCTTGCCTTGAATGCACAGTGTTTCCTATATGGGCACTGGTTCTAATCCCAGCAGCTCCACTTTCCATCCAGCTCCCTGCTTGTGGCCTGGGAAAGCAGTCGAGGACGGCCCAAAGCCTTGGGCTTCTGCACCCACATGGGAGACCTGGAAGAGCTCCAGGCCCCTGGCTTCAGATCGGCTCAGCTCTAGCCGGTGTGGTCACTTGGGAAGTGAATCAACGGACCGAAGATCTTCCTCTCTGTATATCTGACTTGCAATAAAAATAAATAAATTTTTTTAAAAAAAGAAAGTGAATCTGAGCTGAGTTCAGCAAAGGCTTTATTCATACTAAATCAACCAACTGGGTTAAGTCACTCCATCTCCTAGGTCAAGGTTATTAAAATAAAAAAGTGGAAGGCAAGGACTGTCATGTTAGCAGGGTGCTTTCCATGTGAGCCAAACCCGAAGGAGTAGATTAATTCTAAGTGGCAAGGTTACCGAAATTTTGTCTGTCTAAAGCTGTATGTTCCAATGCAGCAGGCATAAGCCACATGCAGCTACTTAATTTTAAATGACATAAAATTCTTCAAAATTAAAAAGCTGGTTCTTTCTTCACATGTACTGACCGCATTTTTTAAAGACTTATTTTTATTAGAAAGTCAGATTTACAGAGAAGAGACAAGGATCCTCCTTCTGCTGGTACACTCTCCAAGTGGCTGCAATAGGCGGAGCTGCACCAATCCAAAGCCAGGAGCCAGGAGCTTCTTCCAGCTCCACCACATGGGTGCAGATTCCTAGGATTCTAGGTCATCCTCAACTGCTGTTCCAGGCAACAAGCAGGGAACCAGATCAGAAGTGGAGCAGCTGGGATACGAACTGGCACCCATTTGGGATCCCAGCACATGCAAGGCGAGAACTTTAGCTACTACGCTATCGTGCCAAGGCCTCACTGATTGCATGTGAACACTTAAGTACATGTGATTAGCGGCTACCATATTACAGCAATGCAGATTACACAGCACTGTCATCGTTATAGAAAGCTGTACCGGACGCCGCAATACCGTGCTGTCTGTCTATTACAGCTGTGTTAAGCATTTACACCGACTTCCAATAACTTCATGATAACAGTGAATTTGTTCACTGGAAAAATTTGGAAAACAGAAACATAAAATCATCGTGAATTTATCACCCAGAAAGAACTCTATTTTGGCTTATCTCTAGCCATTCTTTTTCCATAAATAAAATATAGGTCTGTGTATACTATATATGGATACACGTGCATCCATATAAACCATGTGATTATTTCTTAAAAACATTCTGTGTTCAGTTCTTCAAAAACTATCTGAGGAATAACACCAGATCTTATGAATATACCTCACTGTACTTTGCTTTTCCTCTATTATTTGATATTAATAGTGTCTCATGATTTGCTCTTACAATTAAAGCTGTTTCTTACTCTAAATTCCTTGTTGTAAACCTTTGTTCCGATTTGCCTTTGAACAAATTCTGAAGCATGGCCAATAGTATGAAAAAACAGTTAAAATTCTGAGTCTTTGCTGCTAAATTACAAATCTGCTCTTAACAGCTACACTAGTGTAAATGTGTTAAACAGAAATGTTTGGTATCTAGCCGTTACCAAAGCTGTGCTCTTCTTCATAGGAATTTTCAAACCAGGAGTGCAGAATGTAGGCACTAAGGGGGAATCTGCAAAATCAGCATCTAGAAAACAAATACAACAGATAGTGTAAGTTGAAGTACAGATTTAGACTTTTTTAAAAAAAGATTTTATTGACCCTGGCATGGTAGCCTAGTGGCTAGAGTCTTCAGCTTGCACGTACTGGAATCCCATATGGGCCCCGGTTCGTCTCCCAGCTGCTCCAGTTCCTTCCAGCTCCCTGTGGACTGGGAGGGCAGTTGAGGACGGCCCAAAGCCTCTGCTGCTTATCCAGACCATAGCGAGGGAGCTGGAAGGGAAGCTGGGACTTAAACTGGAGCCCATCTGGGATTCCAGCACTTGCAGGCTGAGGATTAGCCAACTGAACCATCATGCTGGCACTGAGATTTAAGCTTTTAAAACACAAGCTTTGGCAATGCTGTACTTTATTCTTAATTATTTAACAAACAACTACAGTGTATGCATCACACACGCCAACATTTTATTTATTTATTTGAAGAGGAAAATAAAGAGGGAGGAAGGGAGAAGGCGGGGAGGAGAGAGAAAGAAAGATCTTCCAGGGCCCGGCGTGGTGGCACAGTGGTTAAAGGTCCTCGCCTTGCACGCCCGGGATCCCATATGGGCGCCGGTTCTAATCCCGGCAGCCCCGCTTCCCTTCCAGCTCCTGGCTGTGGTGCCTGGGGAAAGCACGTCGAGGACGGCCCAAAGCTTTGGCAACCTGCAGGCCCAGCGTGGGTACGACCGCGGAAGAGGCTCCTGGCTTTGGATTGGCATAGTCATGCCCGCTTCCACTGACCTTCGGGATTAATAGCACGCAGTCTGGTCATAGTTTACGTAATAATGCACAAGTCTAATCAATAGGCTCGAGCTAAATCAAGGAAGCATTATTCCTCTGCATCCGTAAGTGGGGGAATGAATTCAGGTTCTAAGTTAAGACGCCAGACAGACAAGGTATAAAAACTGAGTGTAACCAGGAAGACAATTCAAAACATCCCAGAACACTTTATCTGCTCTTGGAGGAAATTACGCTGAACTGAATGGAACAGTACTTAATTCAATGTTACAAATGTTAAAAAAAATAATAACCTATTAGAATGTCTACAGTAGGCCAGGCGCGATACTGTAGTATGGTTACAGTCCTCGCCTTGCATGCGCCAGGATCCCACATGAGCACCAGTTCTAATCCCGGCAGCTCCACTTCCCATCCAGCTCCCTGTTTGTGGCCTGGGAAAGCAGCCGGGGATGGCCAAAGCTTTGGGACCCTGCGCGTGTGTGGGAGACCTGGAAGAGGCTCTGGGCTCCTGGCTTCAGATTGGCTCAGCTCCAGCTGCTGCGATCACTTGGGGAGTGAATCATCAGACAGAAGATCTTCTTTTGTCTCTCCTCCTCTCTGTATATCTGCCTTTCTAACAAAAACAAATAAATCTTTTTTTTTTTTAAGATTTATTTATTTTATTGGAAAGTCAGGTATACAGAAAGGAGAGGCAGAGAGGAAGATCTTCCATCCAATGATTCACTCCCCAAGTGAGCACAATGGCCAGAGCTGAGCTGATCCAAAGGCAGGAGGTTCAGATCCTCTTCTGGGTCTCCCACGCAGGTGCAAGGGTCCCAAAGCTTTGGGCCGTCCTCAACTGCTTTCCCGGGCCACAGGCAGGGAGCTGGATGGGAAGTGGGGCTGCCGGGATTAGAACCGGCACCCATATGGGATCCCTGCACATTCAAGGTGAGGACTTTAGCTGCTAGGCCACACCGCCGGGCCCTAAATAAATCTTAAAAAATATATATATATGTGTACAGTAAAAGAAACATTTTTGTGTCAAGATAATCCACAAACAATGCAGTTGAGAAGTAGCTTGAGTTGTCCACTCACCACAGTGCTTCAGCTGCGGGATTATGGGTTCAGGAGTGGCAAGGTCACCGCACGTGTGTTCTGTTTCCAGTGTCTCCTCCCTGGTGAAATTCACGAGGAAATCACAAGGTTAAGGTATGTTCATATTAAACAACTAAGAAACTTTTATCAGCAAATCTGGACTGACTGTTCCTTCTGCTTTAAGCACTAGAATCTCAGGGAACAATCTTTGAAATAGCTCTAGATATGCATATTTCAAAGGAACTTAGAACAATTTTCTATTGATGCTCATGAAAGAAGATTAAGAACAAAGACAAAGGCTGGTGCAATGGCATATCAAGGCAGCCTCCTGTGACGTGAGCACCCCACATGGGCGCCACTTCCAGTCCAGTTCTAGCTGCTCCACTTCCCATCCAGCTCCCTGCTTAGGGCCTGGGAAAGCAGTGGAAAATGAGCTAAAGCCTCAGGCACCTGCACCTACAGGGAGACCTGGAAGAAGCTCCTGACTCCTGCCTGAGATGGGCGCAGCTCCAGCCAGCTCAGCCATTCAGGAAGGGAACCAGCCAGTGGGAGCTAGCTGCAATTCTGACCTTGAAGTAAAACAAAGACAAGATCGTCGATTTAAGGAAAGGCAGATGTTCAAATCACTGTTTTAAACATCAGTTTCCAAATCATGAAGTGGAATTGTAGAACCAGTATACGATATGGATTAAGAACCTGTAATTTGGTTAAGACTAAAGCATTTATTAAGGCTGTCTAGAACATCATTCAAAGGAAATGTGTTACCGAGTAAAAGCGATCCTCACTTGTTTCCAGCTTTCATTTGGAACATAAAGAATCCTGCTGCCCTTCACATCCTATCCGAGCAGTTTATACAAGTGTGAATGTTGAGGTCAGTACTGCGTTAGAGTGGGTGAAGCCGCTGCCTGACGTACTGGCATACTACATGGGCACCAACAGAGTCCTGGCTCCTTCACTTCCTGTCTAGTTCTTCCTAAAATGCCTAGGAAAGCAATGGAAGATGGCCCCATTGGTCCTCTGTTCCCACATGTGGGACACAGAAGAAGCTCCTGGCTCCTGGTTTCGGACAGGCCCAGCTCCAGTCAGTGCGCTCATTTGTGGGGTAAACCAGTGGATGCAAGATCTCTCTCTCTATATATATAACTCTGCCTTTCAAAAGTAAATGAATAAAGTTTTTTAAAAAAAACTGTTTGTAAAATATAGCACATATACAAAAGAATATATAGATATATAATGCATAAACTTTTAAAAAATGTTAAACTTAACTCGTGCATATCCACTGCCCAGTTCACAATTAAGAACGCTGCATCTCCGTGCAGGGGAGGCTTCTCCACGAGGTTAATTTATTCCTAAATAGGCCTGGTATTTCTATGACTTATCTATGTGCTCTTGATATAATTCTTGAAAATTCACAAATTTAGAAATTCTTACACATGCAATGACAGCAATATATGTATCGATGACTGCAAAGTTTCAAATTAAGAAAAATGTCATAAGGATTTCTTACATTCAGTCACCAGTGTCAGCGAGCATTCATAAAAATGTTTCTTTTCTCACGTCTTTATTATTGCTACACATAATCCAACTTCCCCGAAATCATTTCTCTTAACAATAACAAACCACATCGAAATGTGAAAACGAAACCCTCGCCTCTGCTGAGTGAGGAATGAAATCTCACTTCTTCCTTCAGCGCCTTCAACTGATGCAAGGCTAAACGTCATTTACACTGAGCGATAGCTCGTGGTCCTTCTTTTGTAAGTTGCTCATTCACGCCTTTTGCTCATGTTTTAAACTGAGATGTCTGCTTTTCACTGACGTATGTGGTTTTTAAAGTATGTATGTGACATATATGCATTTCCTTTAGTATGCTATTAAAAAACTGTTTCTGCTTCTTCGCTGCGCACATGGTTTTGAACAGCAGTTTAGATTTTATATGTAATACCATCTACACACATTCTTCACCATGATTTCCGGTTGATGCCATGCTGTAATTTAGATACTTTGGTTATTTTGTTATTTCCCGTTTTTACCTATTATAAACAAGGCTATGATTAACTGCTGTGCTACCCTATTTGTCAAGTTTCCCTCGAAATAAAATGACTAGTGGCCAGCGTTGTGGCGTAAAGGGTTAGGACGCCACAAGCAATGTTGGCATCCCACATGGGTACGAGCTGAATCACGGCTGCTTTACCTAGGATCCAGATTTCTTCTAGAACACCTGGGAAAGCAATGGAGCTTGGCCCAAGTCCTTGTGCCCCTAAACCCAAATGAGAGACCCAGAAGAAGCTCCTAGCCCAACCCTGGATGTTGGGAAGTTCCTTACCATCTGGGGAGTGAACCAACAGATCTCTGAATCGCTCCTCTCCCCCTTTTTCTTACTCTGCCTTTCAAATAAAGAATCTTTAAAGAAAGAAAAATAGGCCTGGCATGATGGCTCAGGGGCTAAATTCTTGCCGTGCACACCCAGGAGCCCATAAGGATGCCAGTTCTAATCCCGGCTGCTCCGCTTCCCATCCAGCTCCCTGCTTGTGGCCTGGGATGGCAGTTGTGGACGGCCCAGAGCCTTGGGACCCTGCACCCATGTGGGAGACCCGGAAGAGGCTGCAGGTTCCTGATTTCGGATCTGCTCAGCTCTGGCCATTGCGGCCACTTGGGGAGTGAATCAGTGGACAGAGGATCTTTCTGTCTCTCTGTAAATCTGCTTTTCCAATTAAAATAAATGAATCATAAAAAAAATTAGAGGTTAAAAAAAGAAGACTAAAAGCTTTCAATGTTTGAAAATTGTCTTCATGAAATATTCCAAATAACAATATATGAATGATGTAATTGACTATATTTTTCTAACAGTGAAGACAAAAGCAACTTTGCTCCACTTTAATAGATGCAACTTTTCTTCGTAGTTGTTAGCTGCTCACATCATGCCTCGTGCACACTTAGCCTCTGGAATGCTAACAGTCTGAACCTCACACTCCCACATGTGACCCAAGCACCCCAAATGGGGATACTGTATCAGACACCAGCCCCACTCTGCTACATACTCACCCACTAGCCACTAACCTAACCATGGGAAACATTTTTTCCCCATTATGTTAACTACACAAAGCATGCAACAGGAGAAGTACTTCTTATCTCTATTTCCTACTGGCCAGAGTATATTGACATGTTAAATAAGTGACAGATGGCTTCACTTTGAGATGTTGATATCATTAGCTATAGGATAAAGGAATTCTTGTATTTGGAATTTGCAAAACAACAGATTCAAATTTTAGCCATTTCTCATTGATATCTATTGAGATTATCCTATTTTTCTGACTGATTCGTAAAGGAGCTTCCTCTGGGTCTCCCTCGTGGGTGCAGGATCCCAAAGCTTTGGGCCGTCCTCCTCCACCTACCCAGGCCACAAGTAGGGAGCTGGACGGGAAGTGGAGGAACCAGGACACAAACCAGCACCCTGATGGGATCCTGGCGCTTAAATGGGTCAGCTTAGTCGATTGAGCCACTGTGTCAGGCCCTTTAAAAAAAATTACTTCTTATTGGAAAGCAGGCCCACAGAGAGGAGACACAGATGAAGACCTAGGCAGCTGTTTTCCTCAGCATTAACACGGACCACAAAACAAAGCTGGGATTTATCCCCGACCCTCCCATCTTCCCAAGTCAACATTCCAAATACTTCACCAATTCCTGTTGATTTTACCTCTTTTGTTTTATACTTTTACCTAATCCCTGCAAATACTATTTGTTTTCAGGCTCTTGTCACACTTCCTTATGGCTTAAGGAAACCAAGAGCTCATTCAATGCTGGAACTGATGATAGAGAATTTTAAAACACACTGTCTGAAACATTTCTCCTAGACAAACATTAAGAAATGTACAAGATTCTGCAACACTAAAAGAACAGAAAGCGCTGCTTACCTCTTACTATTCTTTATATTTTTCAGCCCCACTGTGTAATCTTCATTTAAACACATAGTGTATTCAGAGATCCCAAAATGTTCTAATTTCGGAGTCACACACTCAAAGTCATCCATTCTCAGTGCACATCGCGGCGTCTTTGGCAGGGTCGCGGCCAGCTGCCTGGCAGCTGGAGTTGCCTGGGGCTCTTCCTGGTGGTGGCTCTCTGCCCCTGCAGGCTTGGGCAGGGCATGGGTGATCATGTATCTCTCAAGTCCAAAATCGGAAAGCTGTGGACTACGTGGAGGCTTCTCGGGGAAGGAGGTGTCTGGGATGCGAGGCTCCACGGGGGCGCCCCGGCCCTCAGGCTGCTGGGACAGCTCTGCCGCAGAGTCCACGCCATCCTGCTCACACACTAGGAGGGAAGTCCAAAGGGTTAACATGGGGGTAGGCAGGAACAAGGAAATCCTACCATGACTAAAACCCAACAGTTCCCTCCAAAACTTCTCGAGTCAGCAAAAGTCTGGCACCTTCCTTTAACATTTCTTACTTATGTATTTGAAGACTTTTTATTTATTTTATCTGAGAAGCAGAGTGACAGAGATGCTTGCAACAGCTTGAGCAGAGAATCGAGGTTAACAATCCCCCACACGGGTTCAAGAGCCACCTTCCACTGCTTTCCCTGGCACATGAGCAGAGCTAGAAATGAAGTGGAACCAGCACTCAAGTGGGATGCCAGTAGTCAGGTAGCAGCTCCATTCACTACGCCACAGAACACCGACCGCCCCTTTCCCCAGCAGTCTCTCAGCCACTGTGCCAAATGGCTGATCTGGCAGTTACAAATTTGGAAGAGAAAGAATGAAAGAGCGTTCCAGTCCTCTGGCTCACCGCCCAAATGCCTGCAGCACACGGCAGGAGGCTGGGCTAGAGCCAGAAGCAGGAGCTCCACCCAAGCTCAACTGTGCTCCACCACCATTCATAAAATCTCATAACTAATATGAATAATACCATCCACTTCTACAACCAGAATCTCTCATTCTACAACAGGAAGCACAACAGGAAAAATGGTGTTTCCCAGTTTTGGTTGTTGCTCGTTTGTTCTGGCAGAACTGGCTAGAAGAAACCAATCCCGAGTCATGTGGATTTATCTCGCACTGTCATTTGAACGGTTCAACAAACTCTTTCATCCAATCGTGTTAGCTCTCATCCAAGGCTCTGGGAAGAACAGAACTCCACGAACCATCCCACAGATCAGCCCACAGTGAGCGCTGAATGAGTTTGCCAAATGCCAACCCCACAACAGCAGAGAGAGAAATGAAAACCAGTCAAGCTTTCCCTTTGTCTCAATCATGGTGGCTCCTCGAACGCCAAAACAAACGCTATAAATAAAAGTTAGGTTAACCTGCGTTCTTCTTGACACGTGGCTCATACCCATACTTCTGGAAATACTCTTGTATTTGCATAATATCTGCTGAATTTTTTTTCATCAGTACTTTCACTGTCCTTAGGAAACCAATGTTCTCTTGATTTTCCACACTTGTTTTACTAAGAAGAACACCGACTTCGTCCTTTAGCGTCTGGACGTCGGAATGAAGGTCGTGCAGAATTGTCATCGGGTAATTTTCAAAGTCTTCGATACCAACAGGGACACAGAAGAAAACAAGCCCAACACACAACAAGCAAAAGAAAAAAAATATAGTAAGGATGGGATCCTTGTAGATTATCTACCACCTGTAGCTACTAGTTCCTTAGAAAGCATTAGTAGTGTTTGTTTTAAAACACTTGCTGAACTACAGCCTGGGCAGGTGCAGACAGCTGCAGAGAGAAGCCTGTCAGTCCCTCTCTCCCCCTACAAGTCAACAGTGCCCCGAGCCCTGAGCCCTGAGCCCCCAGCCCTGCCCCAGGGAGCGGCCTGACCTGCTGTGGATTGCTCAACCTGGACCCTCTGACTTCTTTCCTTGGCAGCCTTTCGCTGTCGAGCGCATCCCAAGCCCGTTGCAAACCACGATTCCACTCCATCAAACTCATCTGACCTATTCCGCATAGCTGTTGGAGTTTGTGTAGCTTGGGACTACTTTTTTTCTTTTTTTGAGCTTTCTAGAACATGCCAAGATAGTCACGTTTTGGTATCAAAGGGGAAAGTGCTGCAGTATAAATTACGCATGTAGGTACTCAGTTTTAATGCATATCGCTGTATGGTTTTCCAACGTGGTTGCTGTAACCTGCACTGCCACCACATCTTAGGAAGCACCTGGTATCTTTCTACTTTTTGTTTCAATAACCCTGGTACTATCTTGCGATTTAATTTGCATTTCCTTGATGACTGACAGCTCAGGCTTTTTTTTTCTTTTTTTCAGATGCCTGATCATCATCTGAAAATTTCTTTTTTTTCTACCGCACTGCCTGTCTTTCCATTCCCAATGCGCCTCTGGCATCCAGAACGGCCCGGGGTCAGGGTCCCCCACAAACCGGCCCACCCGACCTGGGCCCCCCGCTCACCGCTGTCCTCTCCTTCCAGCGCTCGCTGCAGCCGCGCCGTCTCGCAGTCCAGCGTGCTGGCCAGAGCCCGCAGCTTCCCGCAGAAGCTCCGGATCGGGTCCATGGCGATGCCGCGGAGCGCACACCTCCCCGGGCACAGCGCGCCTCCCGCCGCCCGTTTGAATCGGACGGCGCCGGAAGCGTCCCGACCACGCCGGAAGCGTCCCGGCCCGCGCAGGCGCACGAGTGCTTCCGCGCCCTCGCTTGGCCAGCGCCAAATCTCGCGTGAAGACGTCGGGCGGACGGGCGCGCTCCTCGAAGGAAGGGCCGCTCGGTCGTGAGGAGGTCAGTGGCGGCGGCTGAGGAGCGCGGGGCGCGGCGGGGCGCGGCGGGGCGCGGGCCTTGCCTTCCCCTGCGGGTGTCGCGCCGGGCTCGGGGCGGCGGTGGAGGGCAGCCCTGCGGCCTTGCGCTGCCGGCTCCAGCTCGGCTTCTCGTACTCAGGCGCCATGTTCCTCACCGGCCGGCTCCTCCGCAACCGCATCCCGGGCCGCCAGTGGAGCGGGAAGCACCGGCGGCCGCGGCCCGTGTCGGCGTTCGCCAAGCAGAACATGATCCGGCGCCTGGAGATCGAGGCCGAGAACCACTACTGGCTGAGCAGGCCGTACCTGAGCGCCGAGCAGGAGTACGGGCACGCGGCGGCGCGCAGGGCCGCGGCCTTCGAGGCCATCAAGGCGGCCAGCGCGGCCAAGTTCCCCCCGCACCGCTTCGTGGCCGAGCAGCTGGAGCAGCTCAGCGTCACCAAGAAGTGGTCGTGAGCCGGGCCTCGGGCTGGGGGGTCCCGCGGGGCGCCCGGACACGACCCCACGGGACGCGGGTCGCAATAAAGCGAGCCCCACGCGCGACTTTGGGGTCCCCCGCTTCCCTCTGCCGCGTGGGGCCGTCTCGTGCAAAACCGGCTTGCCTCCCTTTGTGTTCCTTCTCGAGCCGCAGTAGGACTGTGAGCATTCGCTGCCAAACATACTCCTGAACACGACAGGTGGTGTGTGTGTTTTTTTTCTACAGTTCGTCTCCTAGCAACACTTAAGTGCATTTTCACACAGGTGACTTAAAAGTGGGGGCGAGGGGGAAGAGCCCGGCGCGGTAGCCTAGTTAAATCGTCGCCTTGCACGCGCCGGGATCCCTTATGGGTGCCAGTTCTAATCCCGGCAGCCCCGCTTCCCATCCAGCTCCCTGCTTGTGGCCTGGGAAAGCAGTCAAGGACAGCCCAAAGCCTTGGGACCCTGCACCTGCGTGGGAGACCTGGAGGAGGCTCCTGGCTCTTAAAGATTTATTTTTACTGGAAAGTCAGCTACAGAGAAGAGGAGCCTCCCTGTGGTTGTTATTTGCATGTTCCTGATGGCTGGTAATCCTGAATGTTTCTCCACGTGCCTGTTGGCCATTTGTATTGCCTCCTTCCGAAAAGACCTGTTGATGACCTTATCTCATTGCCTAACTGAGTAGCTCTGGATAGCTAGCTTCTTTTTGTTGCTGTTTATCTTTGTTTTTTGTCCTCCCCACCCCCCAGCAAGAATGAATTTCTTCCTAGAGAAAATGAGTTTGCAGAGGTGGCCAGCTGCCAGCGTGCAGGTGTGGCAGCAGCCTGGCCCTTCAGTCTCCTATGGCTTAGGGTTTTACGGAGGGGTGTCCGTGTCTGTGGGGCCAGGGAGGGTGATAATCCCAAGTCAGGAGCCAGGAGCTGCTTCCAGATGCAGGGTCCCAAGGCTGTGGGTCGTCCCCCGCTGCCTTCTCGGGCCACAAGGAGCTGGAAGGGATGTGGAGCAGCCGGGACACCTCCCAGGGGATCCTGGCACCTGCAAGGTGAGGATTTAGCTGTTGAGCCATCATGCCAGGCCTGAAAAAAATGAAACATTTTAAAAAAAACAGACTTGGGGCTGGGCGCAGTGACCTCAGTGAGCAAAAAGCAGCGAGGAGCAGAGCGGACGGCAGGGCTCCTGGCTCCAGAGGGCATGGGCAGGTGCACGGGGCAGGTGCACTTGTGCTGCTAACTGGTCTTATTGTGGAAACTTTCCTGCCTTGCCAGGGAGGTCGTTCCTTTTGTGATCCTTTGGCTACAGGAAGCAGTGTCTCCACAGGTCTCTCCTCTGGCTTTTTGTATCTTCTTCACTGACATTTACACATTAGCCATTTCTCCAGCACACAATTCCAGACTGGACGCAAGAAAGGAAACCTAGGAAACGGAACGTTCCATCGTGCATTGCACGCTGAGCTTCCCAGCCGGTTTGCCAGCTCCACCTTACACCCACTGCTCAAGGTGCGCTGGACCAATGCAGTGCTTGGACTCGGTGGGGAAGTGAGCGCTCTGACACGGCTTCCCAGAGCTAAAGACGTGGGGAAGCTTTTGGCTACAAATCCACTTTGTTTGTTAACCAGTTTTTGGGTCATCTTGTGCCAGTTTTGGTAAGCTGTGTTCTATTTAGCCTACTTTTTCAAAATTGTCCATCACAGTGTTGCTTATAACATTACCTTTATTGTCATTGGGCTTCCTGGTGATGTTCTTCACTGTGTTTTTTCATAGTGTCAAAGGAACAATTTTTGGTCCCCTTAAATCAACCATTTTTCCATGTAAAAATAGAAAACAATTTGTTTTCTGCTTTTAAAAAATAATAATTTTATTGAAAAGGCAGATTAGAGTTACAGAGAAAGAGAAAGCTCTTCCATCTGCAGATTCACTCCCCAAATGGCTGCAACGGCCAGAGCTGAGCTCAGCAGGAGCCTGGAGCCTCTTCTGGGTCTCCATGTGGATGTGGGTCCCAGGGCTTTGGGCCAGTGGATGGGAAGTAGAGCCACCAGGCACCTGTAGGGGGACATTGTGACCCTAGAAGGTCAGGGAGCACAGGATTACAGTTGATTGGATAATATTTGAGAACAATCAAATGGCTACCTTTTGTACACCTGATTGGAGATCATTTGTATAAGAACAGTTGAATGGACAGTATGTGTGTGAGAACACTTGGTGGAATACACAAGACAAAAGGAGTTCCAAACTGTTAGAGTGTGGGTAAAATGCTATTGTTGGGCAGTGTGAGGTTCCTTTGTGTAGAGAAAACTGCTACTTTCCTAGGTCAGGAGGCGCCTGGGCTTTGGGAGGATTCCGCTTCAGTGATAAATCCGTTCTTTGCTGTCCTGCAGCTTTGTGAACCCAGGTGCAGGAGGGCAAGGGCACAATTCTTCTCCGGTCCCAGGAACAGGAGGGAGATAAGGGTGTGAGAATGGGATGCGCCATACAGATAATGGGTATGGGAACAGAACAGGCTGCCTGTGCCTGAAGGCCATAAAAAATGAACATGTCTAAGGTTGTTACTTTTGATGTATTCCGAGCCCAAAAACGTCATATATAAGCTGTCTTAGGCTGTTTGGGGTCTGACCGCTCTGCATGGCTGGCCTGTGTGCCCAAAGTGCAGTCTGACCCCAGCATGCTGGCGCAGTAGACTCTGTTTGCTGTTTGCATTGCCAGTGAGACTCTTTGTTGTTCTCTGGGGGTTGACTAGCTCGCACCCTGACGTCCGGGGGCTTTAGCCCGGACTCTGACATTACAAAAACATAGAAACTTACTGGGTTTTGTTGATGAGCTCAATACTTCTTCCCTTATCCCATATGACCCTCAGTGTATAAAGTCTGATGCCACTAATAAACTTCGGCTCTGACCATCAGTCAGGGTCCATGCGTGTCATCGGCTCCGTGCACCAAGTCCATCACACCCATATGGGATCCCAGCACGTACAAGGGGAGCATTGAGCCTGGCCCCATTTCCTCCTTTTGTGTTGGGTATAGCTTACCTTTTGCCCAAATTGAATTTGCTCTTCTTTTTCTGGCCTCTTAATATGGGGTTGCTAGTTAATCACAATTTCACAATTTTGAATCATTCCTTTCAAATATAAGTGTTTGGGCCCGGCATGAAAGTGCAGTGGTTAAAGTCCTCTCCTCGCACACGCCGGGATCCCATATGGGCACCGGTTCTAATCCCTGCAGTCCCACTTCTCATCCAGCTTCCTGCTACTGGCCTGGGAAAGCAGTTGAGGATGGCCCAAAGCCTTGGGACCCTGCACCCATGTGGGAGACCCGGAAGAGCTCCTGGCTCCTGGCTTTGGATCGGCTCAGCTCCGGCCATTGGCGGCCGCTTGGGGAGTGAATCCTCAGACGGAAGATCTTCCTCTCTGTCTCTCATCCTCTCTGTATGTCTGCCTTTCCAATAAAAATAAAAATGAATCTAAGAAATATACATGGGAGCATTTGAAGCTCTACATTTATACACTTCAGTAGCTGCGGGAGACAAATTCTGATATTCTGTACAGTTTTCATCATTCATTTCAAAGTCTTCTAATTGTGGCTTCTTTTTGACTGTTGGTATGGAGAAGTGTCATGAGAAGACCTTCAGTGTCCTGCCTCCTGGACTTTGGACATTGGTGTTTTGCAAATAGAACCTCTCAAAGGTTGGATTTTCACATACCAGTTGGCTTTAGATACAAGGCCCTTTGACTCATGGTCGAGCCCAAGGCTGAAATGCTAACAAACATTTTTCTTAAAGGGCTTTGTCGTTTTTTTCTCTTCCTCTAAGGTTTAGTTTTTAATTGAAGGGCAAGAATTAAAGAGATAGGGAGAAACAGCTCTTCCAACCACTGGTTCACTCTGGAAAATGACTGTAATAGCAGGGCTGCCAGGCTGAAGCCAGGAGCATTGGCCGGGTCTCCCACACGGATGAAGGAAGCCAAGCCCTTTGGGCCGGGCTGCGCTGCCGTCCCAGGTGCTGTATCAGAAGTGGAGCTGCTGGAACACGTATGGGATGTAGGCAGAGGAAGAGACCTGCTATGCCACAGCAACAGCTCATCTGCATTTTTCCACCCAAAGATTGATTTACTTCCTAGTCTCTCGCACTGGTGCAGGTGCAAAGTCTTGGGTTACCTCCCATGCATTCTCAGGCACATTAGCAGGGAGCTGGATTGGAAGTGCAGCAGCCAGAACTTGCACTAGTGCCAGCATGGGATGCCAGTGTCACAGGCAGAGGCGTAACCTATTGTACCATTGAGCTGGCCCTGGCCTTTTTCTACCAAACCAAACCACTTAGCAGAGCCACTGAGTGAGGAAGAGATTAAGATATAGAATT